TTGCTACCTGTCGCTTTAGCCTTTAGGAAAGGTGAATTCTAATTTTGTTCTTAATCTTGTGATGTTGGAAACCGGAGCTCTCTTTTTTCCTGGTGCAGTGCGCCTCTAAAGGATGTTGTTTTATGTCGAAGTCCCAATTCAAATATAATTTACTTAAAATGATAAGTAATCGGTCTTTATATAGCTTTGTAATTTAGATATTTGAGCTCACATTATATTATATTATACTATATTACAGTATATATATATATATATATTATATATATATATATATAATATATTATGATAGTTGGGAAAAATATTAGTATATATAGTGGGAAAATATTAGTTAAACAATAGTGGTTTCTCACTTTAATCTTTTGATATTTTTTTTAATTACTGTGATACCATTTTGCTGCCAATTGACAATGTTACTTTTATGGCTTCAATTTGATTATTTAATTTGTTTTCGTTAAAAGTAAAAAATATGAGAAACTTGTGAAAGGTAATTTATAAACAATTAAAAATTATATTACTTAACAGGTTGAATGTGAGAAAAACGTAAATTTTATCTGTCATAAAAACAAATATGTACTATTAAAAATAGAAATAAAATTTGGAGAGCACAATATGAAATAAAAATAAAATAGATCTAATACAATAAATTTAATACCTTTTAGAAGATTAAAACAAAATATTTATATTACTAAAAATATGTATAATTTTTGAAATGCTATATCATATTAAAAACATCTATTTATCTTGATTAGTTAAAATTTTTAAATCTAATAATTACCTTATATATTTTCAATTGTATAATTTCAATGATTCTATCGTAAACCTACAATTCAAATATCCTCTAAACTAATTAAATATCTAATTGTCTATAATTTTTGAAAATTCTATTTATTTCATATCGTTTCCATTTCATCATTTCTTTTAAAAAAAGTACATATATTTTTTTTTTATTTTTTACTCTTATTTTAAGAAAAAAAATGCTAGCTTTATTTTAAAATTTAGTATTTGATCTCAATTTTATCAAATACTACATGTTGGGAGCTTTGTGATTCGGAATGACAAGGGTGAAGTTATCGGAGCTGGATGTCGGGTTACTCCCTTTCCAGAATCTGCAGAACTATGCTGAGGTTGCAGCAGCACATTATGGACTATTGAAGGCGTTGGTGCTAACATCATCCTTGAATCTGACTCTTTGCTCATGATTCAGCACCTCACTCGCAAGTCCTTTTCTGATAATGAGCATGGTACCAAGCTGTAGTTCATGCTTGCATGTTAAGAGAGAACTTAATGCGGTAGTTCATGCATTAAGTAGATTAGCTTATGCTTTTCCTTTTAGAACAGGTTTGGATCGATGAGGTTCCTCCTTCCATCCATCCTCTTATATTGTCTGATTTTGTGTTTAATCTTTAATACATCCACTTCTTTCCCCCAAAAAAAAAACTATTATGCCTCGCTACAATAGCTATTTAATTTTTTTTTACTTATACTTTGCATTGTATTCCTATTAATTTACTTAGAACAGATATTAGAAACAAAAAATTCATAGCCGTGCTCTCCTAACAAAGATAAACTCACAATGAGGTTTAAGTACAAATATAATAATAATAATAATAATAATAATAATAATAACAATAAACAAGAAATACAACATAAATAACAGTAGTACTAGAAACTTGTTTCACAGAAAGTACAAACCTTTTGAAAGAAAAGAAAAAAGAAAAAAGAGAGAAAAAAAAAAAAAAAAAAAAAAAAAAAAAAAAACAAACCCGTGTTTCCTTGTTGCTCAAAGGTTCCAGTTCACACAAACAGCAGAATTTCCATTGCTACACGAGAAAAAAAAAAAAAAAAAAACCCGTGTTTCCTTGTTCTCAAAGTTCAGTTCACACAAACAGCAGAATTTCCATTGCTACACGAGACCTGATATCAATACATAAGTCATGCCATCTTCCAAAAACCAATATTCATCTTTCAGTATGCACATCATCTAGTAAACTTCTCTCTGTCATGAGGAGAAGAAAAGTCTATATCTGGGCCAACAGGAATGATTCCAAATGGATTTATAGAAGGATGGCTTCCGTAATAATGGCGCTTAATATGCGCCATGTTCACAGTACTACTCACACCAGGAACTTGAAAAATATCTTTGGTATAGTTGAACAGATTTGGGTACTCTCTTAACAGCTTTTTGTTGCACTTGAAGTGAACGGCATAAATCTGTAGTGGGAAGGAAGATCAAATCCATAAGATACAAGCACGTTCTAATTGGAAAAGAATGTAAGAATACGTTCTTACTATTTAGTAAATGTTCAGTAAAAGGTAAAATTGATGCTTGTCACAGGAAACACAAATTCAAAGCATTCCATATTTGCATCTCTATCCAAATGGACAATCGAGAAAATGCAAAAGATGTTTTCTGACTCTCTCATTTGTCAAGCTTCATAATAGTGCTATGGATTTCTTCGGGACTGTTTTTCCCAAAAATACAGTTACTATTTCCACAGGTGAATATTGCTATGAACATATGTATGTCTGACTGGAGTTAAAAAAATAAAACAAAAAATGATTTGTCAGCAAGACAAGTTTTTATTAAAAGATGAAAATGTCTACCTGTATAGACAATTCAATCATTAGTTTGGTAGTGATATTAATATAACATCCTCACAATATGGAACCTTTAACTCCGACTTAAACATGTTATTGGCCATCTAAAAACAAATAGGGAATTATGATAAGTAAATATCAAGATATGTACAATCATACCACGCATATAGCACCTAGATAAAAGTACTATATGGTACATGAATGAAACCAACAACAAAAAGTTGCAGCAAACTGTGGATATTCTTGATATGCATGCATCTAGATGATTTACTGACCTCTACGATTAATCACTAGGAAAGAAACAAAGCTAGTTACATACTTATATGCATATTTTGAGAAAATATTTAGTAGAAGTACTAATTTTCAACAGTAATTAAGTTTTTTGTATTAGAACCATTTGCTGAAGGAGTCTACACAATGAAACCTAGAAATACTTCTCCTAAAATCAATTGTCTACGAGCAGGAAGGTGTTATAATATGATCACATAAAAAATAAAAAAAATAAAAAAAAAAAAAGAAAAGGAAAAGAGAGACATAAGCTGTTATTTTCATGGGAAAAATCCTGTACCTCATCAAATCTTATGAGGGTGACAAACAACCGAATATCTGCTTCAGACAAAGTGTTTCCACATATATAACGTTGCTTTCCAAGTATTCCCTCACATTTATCAAGAGCTTCATACAATTGTTTTGTGGCCTGCAGAAGGCTCCAACGAAATTATAACCATGGAAAGATCAGTTCTACTGATGCACAAAACTAATACAATGTTGAAAACCTTACCTCCTCATAAGGACCTTGCTTCCTAGCAAACCCACATTTATAAACACCATTATTTATCCCATCATATATCCATTCATTGGTTTCATCAATCTGAGCTTGCAAGTGGGGAGGATACAGGTCCAAAGCTGCATTTTCAGCTATATCATTAAATTCAGTATTAAACATGCGAATAATCTCTGCACTCTCATTACTAACAATTGTTTTGAGCTTCTTATCCCACAGCACCTATCATAAAACAAAATGCACAATATATTCAAGATATTGCAGAATAATAGAGACAAAAAGACAACTGTGTAGCAAACATACAGGAACAGTGTATTTTCCAGTGTAATTGGTACTTGCAAGCTCGTAAAGTTCTCTTATACTTTTTGCTCCATTCAAGAGGTCAGGCTCAGCTCCTGGTTCTTCTGTCTCTGAAGCAGGAAAAATCCATCCCATATGTTCATCACTGTCCTTTGTTCGTTCCCATATAGGTTTGACAGACTAAGCAATTCAAGTACAAAAGAAGAAGATTCAACATTGCTTTAGTCATATAACAATCCGAATCTACATATGTAAGAATTTGATCATTAAGTTTACCGTGAAACTGATGGCTTTCTCAAGTCCTTTAATCTTCAAGTATGCAAGGCATCTAGAAGCCCAAGGACAAGCATATGATATATACAGAAGATATCTTCCAGATTCTGCTGGAAATTGAGAATTTAGGTCTCGGGAAATGAAGTTCCGGAATGTTGAAGCAGTTCTTAGAAAAGCCCCGGAGTCAGCCATTTCATCAAGCGCAGACCGAGCCATTTGAAGATTGCACTAAAGGATACATTAATTCGAAATAGTTTAGGCCATCAAACAAAACTACAATCATGGAAAAGCAAAATTCAAGAACATATCATTAAAAGATAGAAATGGGCAAGTTAACAAGTTAATACTAAAAGCAACTTTCTAGAGGGTGGAAAGGTAAAAAGATTTTCATATAGAAGCATATTAGTGACATTGTTGGAACTCAAATTGTTCCAAGTTATATGAGGCCCTAAAGGGGCAGAGTAAAAGATTGTTTTTTTAGAAGTTGTAATGACTGATTGTAAATTAGTAATAATAACAATAACAGAAACTGATCTTTCCTAAAAGCAAAGAAAGAGTTCATCCAGTCATGTTATGCGAAATCGTCAAAGGGAAATGCAAAGGGAAAGATCTGAATTTCTTAATTAAATGAACCAAACCAAAATTGTGTATGCCAAACTAATGAACTAAAAGGAGATCAAAGCTACAAAAACAAAAGGCATAAACCGAATAAGATAAAAAAAAGATTGGAGTTTTTTTTTTTCCACGATTATTAACAAAACTCATCAGTAAGAAAATAAACCGGCTCTCCTTCTCATCGTACATTCCATCAACCCATCAGTTGTAATCTAACAAAAAGAATAACACCATCAAGATTAAGAAGATAAGGAGTGGTTTAGTTACCTTGAAAAGGAACGGAGAGAGGATAAAGGAGATGGTGGTTTTGTTGTTCTTGGACCCAAACGGTAAGTGGGTTTTGCTTATGAAAGAAATCATCTTTCTGTATATTAATATCATTTTCCATTTTATTGCAAGTGGCTGCGTGACTTTGTTCACTGGTTCCAATTTTTAATTTGACTACAGCAACGCTAACTTGGCAGCTTCCATGGCTTTTATTCCTCACTTTCGAAAATGTGACTAGACGTAGACCGTATACATTTTATTGTTGTTGAATTTTGTCCCATTCCACTTTATTTAGAGTCTATTTGAAAATACGACCTATTATAGCAGCTAATTTCATCTATATTAGATTAACAAGACTCGCACACGATTTTATTCCGCAGGTGAAATGAGGATTAATAAGACTCGTACGGTTTTGTACTGTAGGTAAAATGATAAACTCACTAGAAGGTCACTCATCCTATGATTTCATGAAGTTCTTCCTCAAAAAGTGTCTCTGATGATTAGTTTCTCTATTTTTCGATATATCATTCGATTCATTCTTGCGCCTCATATTCATCTATCCATAACTAGCATGTCATAGTAGAAGCTAGCCACGAGCTTTACTCTACCCGCCCTCTTAGGATTGCTTTGCCGGGTGGGGATGTTATAGGCCCACTAGCTTTTGCATGGTTCATCCTGGAACCATACATCTACTAGAGGGATTCGACTTTGATACCTATTGTTACGCTCGACTCTAACCACCAGAGAAATTGTCTGTTTCAAATCAAGCCAATTTCATCCTATACTTGATTGACAAGATCCACACGGTTTTGTCCCGCAGATGAAATGGTGAAATGTGTTTTTCTTCCATTAAATGCCATGATCTTTGTATAAACTTTCACCTTTATGCCTTAAATTCTTTATTTTATAATTTATTCATGTATTTTAAACTAGGAAAGAATATATATCTACTATCCCTCTAAAATAAATGGTTAAAAATTATATTTTGATATTATATTTCTTGAATATAAGTGCTAAGGATGGTATGTATGCAATTTGGTGATGATTTAAGCCATTTTTCATGCTTGTAAGAACCTCTATGGCTATGTTTTTATGATTTTATATTTAATTTATCAAATTATATACTTAATCTTGATTATATGACATTTAATTTTAATCAATGAAAAGTTAATTTGATTCAATGCATGTCTAGTGCACTAACTATAGTGGGTCAAACCATGAAAGGACTAATGTGCAACTTTGACATGTGATGAGGACTATTTAGAATATATTTCAAGGAAAAAGGCAAATTTCTTAAGCTTATGGAGTATTTAGACAAAAGGAAGACTTTAAAGACCTAAACCAATGACTAAAATGTGAATTTGCACTAATTATGGACTAAAGAGTAATTTGCACTAATTAAGGTCTATAATTATAAATTGGACCCTTAAAAATGATTAATTATGGACGATGGATAAATTAATATACCATTAGTCTATTTATTCCAAGTGGGATTCATTTATAATTAATAAGGACCTTAAGAACTAAATTGTAATTTGTCCTTAATTAAGATGATGATTAATTAAGATTAGTGATAATTAAGTGACAGTAATAAATTAATTGGTTCGTAGTAATTTAACTAAGTAGATAGATAGTTAATTGGCAAATTAATTAGGTACTTAATTGGTAAATAATATGAATAATAAAAATAATAGGATTTTATGACTAATAAATAAATTACATAGCTAATTAATTAATTGATGCACTTAAGTCCCAATTAGGAGAATATTAGAAATAAGTGAAATATAGATTAATTAGGTGGTGATACACTATGTTAAAACTTAGTGCATTAGGAATTGTGCCATGGTATTAGAAATTATGCCCATTAGTGAATTATGAATGATCATGTGAAACTATGCAATGATTATGAATTTAATTGATGACATGAATTTATGTGCCATGTCAGAATATTTTATGAGATAAAATATCCTTTATGAATATAGTTATAGATTTATGCAATTATATAAGAATTATGATTAATTAAGTGTGATTATGTGATTTGTTAGTGATTTATGAAAATGAATTTATGATAGAATATTTAGTATGAAAAAGTATGATTTTTATGAATAAATATAATTTATGAAAGAGAAAATATTTCAGTGTAATTATGACACCGGCGTTTTATCTATGACACTGATATGTATGAATTATGAAATGAATATAGAATATTTTAGTATGAAAAAGTATTGAATTTTTATGAATAAAATGAAAAAGTATGATTTTTATGAATAAATATAATTTATGAAAGAGAAAATATTTCAGTGTAATTATGACACCGGCGTTTTATCTATGACACTGATATGTATGAATTATGAAATGAATCAATTATAATAAATATTTTATCAGCCTTACTCTAACTTGATTGAGTTAGTAGTTATATAGAGGTATGACATGCCATAGGAATACAATGATGATATATTTTCGCATAAATTTGCCCCTAAAAGGTTAAGTGATGATATATTGTTTTTTGAATAAATTTGGATTGAGATGCTCGATCGCTCCGGTTCTCGGACTGATGGTCCGTGGTTGAAATTATCTATGTGCTTAACCATTTTTACTTTTTCAGGATCACTGGGAGTTTCGCGACGAAACTGGATCCGGGAAACGCGTCAAGTCGGTACACTTTCCGGTGCACCATCTCATTTCGCGTGTCACCATTCTGATTTTATAAAAATGGTTTCGGTCCCGTTGTGGATCCCGACAGTGGCATTTTTGCCACGTTAGCCCTCAATAGGGCCACCCCACCCTTAAAAGTCTATAAATAGACATTGGGGTGAGCTTTAAAGGTGGAATTTTTTGGATTAGAGGGAAAGCTATTGCATTTTCAAAACTCAAACAAAATATCAAAGGCAACAAGTGTTACCCTTAGATCTTAAGTTGAGATTTTTGTTTATTTAATCATGAAAACCCCAAAGATCAATCAAAGAATCCTAAAAAACACATTTTTAATCATCAATCTCGAATTATTGGATCAAGGACCAAAGAGTTGGGTTTTTTCATCCATTTCCATCTAATCTTCAAAGGAATCTCCAAAAGGTAGTTTTTGAGAACCTTAAACCTATTTCTCTTTTCTTTTTCAGTGTTTTAAACACCTATTCTAGGTCTGGTCATGAGGGAAATCTAGGATCAACCATTAAGAAGATTATGTGCCTCTGTGGCATGCAGCCCGAGCTAGTGGTGCAAGCCACAGTGTGTGGCGTGCTCCACAGACATGTGGCTCACGCTACAAGCATGCAGATTCCCCTGTTTTTGCTCTGTTAAGCTCAGAAGCCTTCCTGATCTGGGAAAGGCCTTCCGCCACTGTGTGTGGCATGCCCCATATGCATGAAGCGCACGGCATAGTCCTTGTGGTGCAAGGCCTTTCAATTCAGAGGCTTTAAATGTATAAAAACCCAATAAATGTCCCGATTAGGAGATCTAGTGATCGAGCTCTAACCTTAAATGAGATGCGTATTAAGTCATATATGGATTGAATAAAAAACAAAAATGAGATTAAGAACAATTATTGATTTATTTGCTCATCTTTCAAAGATGAACATCAAGATCATGAGCTTAAATCTCATAGAATTATTTAAATTCCTGTCATTTAATTATTGTACTTTAAATTACAAGCAATTTATTATTCTGCCCTCTAATTTTATGCTTTTAAATTCAATGCCTAATGCTTATTATTGTGCCAATCCCTTTATTCGTTACTCTTGTATTATGAACATGCATCATATTTCTATTATGTGAATGAATGATTGATTGTTGGTTGGGTCGTATGATTTTATGATTCTAAAAATAATGTTTATTCTATTTTTGTGTTGATTATGGATGTTTTATTCTTATTGTGCTTTAATGTTACATTATTGCAAAGTGTAAAAGGTCCTTGAAAGGATTCCTAATACTGGCTTGTATGCAATGGATATTGGGAAATTTGGAGGGTTTAAGGGTAGAGTGTATTTTAGGAAGTGGTTTGTATTCTTTTCTCTTCCCCCTTTCTTCACGAATGTTTTATATTTCATGTCGATTATGTTTGCAGTAACTTGTATGAATGACATGTTTTCTAAAAAATTGCATGAAAATCGTTTTATATCTCAATTTTAGTTAATCGCATTATTGCTAATTGTGAATCTTTGGACAATGTGGAGGCTGGTTTAACCGGGCAAAATGGGTGCCTAACTCCTGAACCCGTCTCTGGTTTAAAATTGGATTAGCTGATTCCAAAGAATCGACTAATTCGAAAATTTTTCTTAATAAGGGTGGTGACTCCAAAATAAAACTCTTACCAAAATAAGAGAACCTTCTTCAAGGATTAAACGAGTTTAATAAAAGAAAACCATTTTGATGAATAAAATCAATCAAGTCCATTCGATTCGGTTCTTTTCAAATCACTTAGCCTGGCGATTTTGCTAGGGATCAAACCCAGAATCTTTGATTTTCGGTTTTGGGTTTGAATAAGTGAGTTGACTCTGAAAATTGTCCAATTATTCACAATTTTAAATAATGTTATTAACTCTAAATTGAGTTTACTTTTGTACTTATAAATGTCATTCATGCATTTATCTCTTCTTTATCTCCTTTCTATCCTAAACCCTAAAGGTGATATTTGGAGTCATGATCCTCTCACTCTACTCGACTGTTTGGAATGATCCTCTCACTCTACTCGACTGTTTGGATCCGCCACTAATATACACCACCCTAGTCAAGTACCATTTGATATATCAAAAGAATTGGCACAATTCGTTATCAACTTTTGTTTAGACCCAAAGCAAAAGTGAGGAAACAACCAATTCTTGCTTATGGAATCCAAGACTTAATAAACCCGACATAAGCCCATGTAATTGACCCTAGTTCCTTCCTTTAAGATTACCATAATACTTAATGATTATTGCATTCAAACAATAAATGCGATAGGCATCAGTCCAAAACCCCATGATGGTTTATGGGCCCAACCTATATGTCTTAGGGTTTAGAAAAGACTTTGACCTCGAATCGTTGTGAATACCTAAATTTTGAGGCTCAAAAAGCCAGTTTTCTCGGCCGCGGCGGTGGCGGCCGCCCTTAAAGCGCGGCGGTAGCCGCTAATCGCCGGCCGGGGGCAACCGTCCGCGACAGCGGCTTGCAGTCGCTGTGAATACCCATTATTTTGAGGCTCGAAAAGCCAGCTGGTTCCGA